TGGGTAGTGTAGGCATAGTCCATTTCTCAATGGGAGAAGGGGGTTATTGTTTCATGATTTGTTGTTTATGTATGTTCATTGTATGTAAAAATGTATTTGTTTATTATTTGTATGATTTTCATTGCATAATTAAGGTTGATGTATTTTGAATATTATTTTCATTTTAAGTGTAGTTATGTATTATGTGTGTGAACATTATTTAATTTCCCTATAACTGTAAAATGGTTGACCCTTTCAGTATACAGGAATGTTTGTCTGAAAGCAGTTCTAAAATATGGTAGACAAGAAGACTCCCTTCTTCCTGGAAACATGGAGTAGTTGTTCCAATAGCTAAGCCTGGGAAAGATCATTCCAGAGCAGTTAACAGACCAATTGCACTAACATCGAACTTGTGTAAAATAATGGAAAGAATGAAAAGAAAATCTTCTATGCTCACACCAAAGTGGATTTAGAAAGGGTCGTAACATGATGGATTCTATCATATGTCTAGAATCAGACATTAGAAAAGCATTTGTAAATAAAGAAGTATTGGTTGGAGTGTTTTTTGATGTGGAAAAAGCATACAATATGTTGTGAAAGGAGGGATTATTAATTTAAGTTATTAAAGGAAGGTATTAAAGGAAGGTTATATAATTGGATAATGGATTTTCTTTTCAAGCGTACAATAGGATCGGCTCAAGTTGTTCAAAAATATATACAATAACGGTGCTCCACAAGGTAGTGTTTGTAGCCCCATTTTGTTTAATATAATGATTAATGATATATTTTCTCAGGTAGGACAAGGAATAGGTAAATCCCTCTATGCAGACGATGGAGCCATGTGGAAAAGAGGACGGAATGATACATTTGTTGAGAAAAGCATGCAGAGAGCAGTAGAGGAAGTGGAAGGTAAACAACTGGGGTTTCAAATTGTCAGTAGAAAAAATGCAAGTTGTCTGTTTCTCAAAAAAGAAAAGTAGCCCACAAATAAAATTAAAACTATACGATCAAACGTTGGAGCAAGTATCAGAAATTCGATATTTGGGGTTGTGGATGGATTCAAAACTGAAATTTGACAGTCACATAAAGAAAATAATTGATAAATGTAAAAAAAAAAAGGAATAAACGTTTTAATATGTCTGGCAGGGGTAGATTGGGGTGCAAGTCGGCAATCATTAAACAGAATATATTGTGCAATGATCAGACCAGTAATAGATTACGGATGCATAGTATATAGCTCAGCATCAGCATCCAGGTTAAAGACAATAAATATTATTCAGTCGCAAGCTTTACGAATAAGTTGTGGGGCATTCAGAACATCCCCTATTACAGCAACGCAGGTAGAAATGGCAGAAATGCCTTTGGATGTTAAGGTTACAATTAAAAATGTCATATTGGAGTACAATAAAGGGACACAAAGAGAATCATTCAGTGAGAAAAGGTCCTAGAAAAGTGTGGAAAAGGAGAAATAAAAGTTTTGGATGGAATGTAGAAAAAGAAGCCCAGAACAAAATAAATAATATGTCCCACAGTGGTAATACCATCTATACCTCCATGGCTTTTCCCTAAACCATATGTAGATTTAAGATTGAAAGAAAAGATGCAAACAAAGGAAATATACATAACATTGTATATAGTGGTGAAACAGCATCTAAATCAGGAATACTACAATAGCATCCAGATATTTACGGATGGCTCTAAGATCCCAGACACTGGACATACAGTAGCAGCAGTTTACATCCCCCAATTTAAATACAGTATTGAAAAGAGAATTACAGATTATGTTTCGGTACAGAAATGATTGGGATTTTAATGGCACTTCAATGGGTGGAAGAAGTTCGACCAATGGACGTAGTGATTTGTTCAGATTATTCAGTTTTAATGAGTATAAATAGTGGAAAGTCAGCCTCTAGGAAGGATATTTTGTATGAAGTGCTACAAAACCTGTACAGAATATGTAGAATAGGAGTAAGTATTTCATTTTTATGGGTTCCAGCACATGTTTGGGTAGAGGGTAATGAGGAGGTGGATCAGCTGGCAAAGAGATCTTTAAAACGCAGTGTAATAGACATTAATGTATCTCTGAGTAAATCTGAAGTTACAGTAATAATAAAATCTGCTCTAAATAAGATCTGGCAAGAGAAATGGGATAAGGAGACAAAATGTAGACATTTGTATAAAATTCAAAACAAAGTTGGGGTTGAGAGAAAGAAATACGGAAGTAGAAAGGAAGATTCTATTATATCTAGGCTCCGAATAGGGCATACATGACTTAATTACTCACTGTTTACCATTGGGAAAAGGGAATCAGGGAATTTTGATAAATGTGGATTGTCAGAAACAGTTGAACATGTGTTGATTCAGTGCTCAGGATACAACAGAGAAAGAAGCAATTTTATTGAAACATTAGAACACGTAGGTTGTTTGACTATATTGACAGGATAGTTAAATAGATTTTTTTTTTTTTTTTTTTAAATATATAGATAAGTTGCTTAACTTGTTGACGCTTCACACTCCTGTCCAGTTGGTGGCAGTAAATGCACCTTTTTAGCTGGTTTGCCAACCGCCATAAAACTTTTAAAGAAGTTGTTATTACTGACACAATACAATGATGTTTGAGAGAAAATGACATTGAGTAGATAACTAGAGTTAGCTTAGGCCTATGTTGAAGTTAGCTAACTTTACAATTAAGCAAGCTTTATTTCAAAAGATGATTTAATTTATTTTACTTATAATGAGGCAACTATTAGTTGGACTTTAATCCATTGCCCTAACATGTAACCATGAGTCTAATGGCAAATTGTTTGATCAGTAGATGCTGTGTGATTGATTATGAGTGCAATGGTCTTAATGCACAGCTGCACTACTTCCTGAACTTAAGCCAGCTCCTTGTTTCCTGTCTGTCATTATTGGCCAAATTGATTAATTCAGGTGTGTCTGATTATTGTTGCCGTGACTACTGAGGTCAGGCACACCTGCATTAATCAATTTGGCCAATAATGGCAGACAGGAAACAAGGAGTTGGCTTAAGTTCAGGAAGTAGTGCAGCTGTGCATAGAGCCCATTGCACATTTTAGAGTGGCATTTTATTGTGGCCAGCCTAAGGTACACCTGTGAAATAATCATGCTAATAAACATCTTGATATGCCACACCTGTGAGGTGGATGGATTATCTCGACAAAGGAGAAGTGCTCACTAACACAGATTTAGACAGATTTGTGAACAATAGCCTACTTGAGAGAAATAGGCCTTTTGTGTATAGTACATGTGTATAGAAAAGTCTTAGACCTTTGAGTTCGGCTCATGAAAAATGGGGGCTAAAATAAAAAAAAGTGTTGCGTTTACAATTTTGTTCAGTGTATGTTGTTTTGTTATATGTGACAGCAGTCATCTGTGTGGGGGCTGCTGTCTTTACGTTCATTTTGTTTATATCATGTTTGTTAATTTTATGTTTATTAAAGTTTTTGAATGTTTGCCAGTTCCCATCTCCTTCTTTTCACATTTCACCTTGTTACAGAGACATAGGATAAAAAAAAAAAAACAAAAAAAAAAAACAACAACCTTAATTTATGAAGCACATTCAGATGGACAATTATATAAAATGATTTAATTTATAATTTAAAATCAGTATACATTTGCAGGTTACTAGGTCTAGTTGGATGAGTGATCAGATTTGTGACTTCTTTATGACTGGATCTCAGCAAATCCCAACACACAATAACACTTCCTCACATCTGCACTTCTATTGTGTTGCCACAGTGCGGACATAAACCCATTCAACAAAACAAAATTTCCAATTCAGCTACACACAGGGAAAATTTGACCATTTTAAGTTTTAAATGAGAGAACAGAAAGACTCTGTTCGACTCCTAAAACAACTGGACAAAATATTATTTTGTGTCGATAAAAATTTATTTTAGACACACAAGGACCAGACAGTTGAATTTAGCCTGTTTAGAAGCTCTTTTTACATTTAAATCTCTTAAATAACATTTACAGAATACTAAACTAACTTTTTTTGTTTATATATATATATATATATATATATATATATATATTCAAGTTCAGTAATTTTACTTAAATAACAATTAATAGGTAATTATCATTGCCATTTAAGTGAAATTACTGAACTTAAATATACAAGTTTGATAAAAATCATCATTAAAGAAGAAAATTTCAAATGGCATTTAGAGGCTTTTGCATCTGAACTCTTCATATATATATTCATGTACGACTGTAATATTTCTAGTTCAAATGTTATGTCATATCTCAGAGATATTCACAACAAATGTTGTTTGTTTCAACACAAATTACAGTTGCTGCTATAGCTTTACACTTACCTGTAAACCTTACAGAAATTCTGTGACTTTTGTAATGTTCTGTCATGTGTGAAAAGCCTAAACTCAACATTTGGGAGCTACTTTCCTTTTAGATTGATTTTTTAGCATGCTATGATAAAGTGCACACATAAACTTAATGTGTAATATATTATAGCATATTTATTAAAAATTCAAAGTCAAAGTTGAAAAGATCTCATTCAATTATTTTGAAATGAATGCATTATTTCAAGAAAAGCTTAAATTCTGCCTATAGCCATCACATGAAAACATCCAACCATTAGAAACAATTGGTATAAATGACCACATTTTAACAAATGCATTCATATTAGCTTAATAATATAAGCTATAGTTATACTCTTTATAATAAAGTTATTCAGTCAAAAAAGTCAATAAATACACTTGAGCAAAGTCATCATCACCTTTCTCTTCTCTATGACGCTGAATGCATGTAAATCCACAATTTACAAAAAAAAAAAAAAAAAAAAAAAACCAACAACCTTTGCAGTAAATGTACACTCTGATTTTTATATTAATGGACATTCATTGCTCTGTACACTCTAAAAAATGCTGGGTTGTTTTAACCCAACTTTGGGTCAAATATGGACTAACCCAGCCGTTGGGTTAAATTTTTACATTACATTTTTAACCCAACATTTCGGGTTTGTCCATATTTGACCCAAAATTGGGTTAAAACAACCCAGCATTTTTTAGAGTGTATGGGCCAGGGTTCCGATTAACCTGAGAATTTGTTCTCACGCTTCCACATATCTTTCTACATGCAGAGTTTCCAACAGGGAGCTTCTTCATTGGACTGCAGACAGTGAAATGTATCAAATATCAGTGACTGCATCATCCATCCACTTCAGGTAGTGCTGGCTTCCATCATCAATAGGAAAACTGATGATTTCTGGAATGTCATATGGATGCACAGCTCTGTGGGACACACATTGCCCCAAATTGAAATTACAGATTAAGAAAATAATTCATTCAAAAAAAACATTCACATTAAAATAACAAGGAAACATACTTATCTGTATTGTACACTACCATTCAAAAGTTTGTGGTCAGTAAGTAAATTGAAATTAATACTTTTAGACAGTAAGGATTGAATTGATCAAAAAAGACAGTAGTTACAAGACTCAACTAATGATGCTGAAAATTCTGCTTTGAAAAAAACATTTTAAAATATATTAAAATAGAAAATAGGGATGCAACGGCACACGTATTTGTCCCAAACCGTTACGTTTTAATGCATGCAGTCAGTGACCGGCGATCAACACTTGCAGCAATGCAACGCTGTTTTCTAACCCCCACAACAGAAAAAAGCGCAGCTTTTACTGAATAAGTCCACAAGATAGTGCGCACACTAAATGTGTCTTTCTGCGTTCACTAAATGATTTTTGGTTGAACAAACTGTAAATTGCACTACTGTCTGTTCAACATGAAAATAAACCAAGTAAATGTGCCTTGAATGAGGCAAAAGTATTAGTTAATAGTTAGTTAATAGTGAGAATTGGACCTTAAAATAAGGTGTGACTGTTTTTTTTTTTTTTTTTTTTTTTTTTTTTTGCTATGGCACCAAACTGGTATTGAACCGTGACTTCAGAACAGAAAACTATCCTTTTAAATTGTAATAATACTTCACAATATTACTCTTTTTACTGTAATTTTGATAAAAAAAAATGTAGACTTGGTTTTAAAGCAGCATTATGTTACTTTTAAAATTTTGCTCTCGGGGTGCCCCTACAGTTGGGAAACAGTATTGTCTTCTACTACTGTCGTAAAATCTATCATGGTTACACTAAGCTATACACACGTGCATTTCTTGACAAGGAGACTCCCAAACTCTGCAGAAGGAAGTTCTCAAATCTTGGGCAGGCTGCCAGCGCTGCATATGTCTTCATCCCAGGTACATTGGCATATATTTCAGCATGTCACATGAATTTAGTTTCATGGGCTTTATTTTTTTCAAACATCAAAAGATCGCGTAGCTCACGTTTACAAGCCAGCGTCTTTATAGTAACGTTAGCCTATTGGCTACGGTTTTACATAAGGATATGCTAATTCATTTCAATGTTTGTGTCGCAGAGAATAGCCATATCGTCAATATTATAATATCAAGCTACCATAGATGAATCTGCAAATTTGAAAAAATCGATTTGGATTATAGCCTGCCCTGAGGCAAGACACTTTCACCAGAAAAGTAAATAACAAACATGACTATCAACTTGAAGACATAGTTATCCTGACCGATTATTTTGTCTGTCTAATCATGTATTATTTACTTGCAAGAATGTAGCCCCTACCAAACTCAGTAATCAGTATACTTTCACGTCTGGCGCGAAGGCCTGCCCCGGCTCTACGGGGATGCTTGAGTGTGTTAAGCGCCCTCAAAAGAAAGCAATGTAGTCTACATTGGATACGGCGAGGGGCGAAGCTACGTTATACAACACATTGTCAACAGTAAACTGATCGCGAGCACGCTCTGTTTCTGACATACTTCACATTTGCTAGGCGGGGGAAAATTGATGCACCGGACCGGAGTCGGGGGACTTAGTTATGTCATGGAGTAGTATTACGAATTCATGTTTTTAAAAAAATATTAGTATAAAAAAAAAAAAAAAAAAAAAAAATCACTCGTTCGCTCATTTTGGCGTACACTATGGATGAGTGGCTGGTGCCACTAATGCTGGACCAATATTGATCCTCGCCCAGCCTTTAATCTTGCCACTCTCCCTTTTTCTCTTTCTACTGTCCTCCGACAAAACCCTCTTGGTTTAACTTGCTGGGGGAAAAAAGTAGGCTACTTCACATTTGTACATGATCGCAGTATGAAGTCCCTTACATTCTCCCAGACTACCACTGGTTATTTTAAAAATTAAAGTAACAAATTGTTGGTCCATTGTCACAATATTAACAAATTGTTGCTAACTTCAACTTCGTCCCATTACAAAGTGCGCACCTGAAGCGCTCGGACCGGTCTAGCCTGCGGAGGATTGTTCTTGTCGCCTAGCAACTGTGACTGACAGCTGACGACGACGAGCGGGAGTAACGACGTTTGCACTGGACTTTTTATATCCAACTGGTTTAAAATATTCAAATAGGATTGACAGCCTGTATAAATATATTCACCATGGTCCATTTAGACACTAAAAAGAAAACCCTACAAAATCGCATCAAGGTACGATTAACATTTGAATAGGCTATAGGCTATATATGTGCCTATGTTTTATCATTATTATTTTTTGGGCTATTTCATTACAATATTTACGTAGGTTAACACCCAATATTTGAACAGTTTACAGTGTAATCTGGCTATTCAGGACGCAGCCTCTAGCATTAAACCAGCTCTGGCCAACTCTTGAGCCGAAAATACATGACTCGAAATATTTTTTTAGTGGTTATGTGAATTGAAATTATGTGACTTTATATATATTGCCCCTCATTTAAAGACAGGAAAATATAAAACATAAAATTTCCAGTAAAATATAAAACAACAAAATGACAATAGCCTGTCTCCATAGCTGTTTACTCAGTTTCATTAAATGAATGATCAGGGTGGCAGCTGTTCTCTCGCTCCGTTGCTTGGCGCCAGGAGCAGTAATAGGGAACACCTGGTTGCGCAATTAGGAAATCCCACAAAGGCTACATGAAGCGTCCTTCGAAGGCCAAATAGGCTGCCTCCTTCGGAGTCTACAGCCTTCGAAGTACGCAGCCTTCACATTGGGACACAGCTACTGTTAGGCTATGGTAGACCTGTAGGCCTAAGCAGTGGCGTAGGCAGAAATTGTATTTTGGGTGGGCCAGTGAAAATGTGAGTGGGCCTACAGTTTTTCATAGAAAAAAAATATTTTGCTTTATATTCAGCAAATCATCATGTTCAACCAACAGAGCTCAGTAAAGGCAGGACAGACCAGTGTAGGCAATGATTTTGGCTAGTCAGCAGTGCAAAGACAGTTCATCCGAAAATAAAGTAAGCTAAAATAATAATATCGCAGTTAGATCGGCAGGTAAACCCGCGTCAGGCTGACCGGGAGAGAGGGAGCAAGAAGCGGCCGCCGCCAGCACCTGACTAGCCTTCTTCTTCTGCTATGAGTTTTCCTGTTGGACCCCCCAGCAACCATAGCAACCTACAACGTTCCGGAGGGTAGCTTTCTATAACTTGCTTCGACAGTTACATTTTATTCGGGAAACGAATTAAACACACACAGCAGTCAACAATAAAACAGGCATATATTAATATATTTTCTTAAATACATTTGAATAAAAAAATAAAAATAAACTAAAAATTTATTTTTATCAAACTGTTCAGGGCGGGCCAGTGAGTAATGTGGGTGGGCCAGTGCCGCCCTGGCACAAAACTGGCTACGCCCCTGATTGTAAGTTGATGTACCATCTCGAGGGTTTTGGAAAAAATATTATAAAGGTTGAAAAAGTTACTTAGTGCTGCTTTAAAAACGTAAAAAAAAAAAAAAAACCTTACATATTTATTTATTTTGAAAACATTCTAACCTATTAATGGATATGCCCTGACTATTCCTCATGATGACAATTTCCAGAATAATCCAGAACTCAATAGACTTCAACAAGTGTCACTCAAATATATGAGGTAACTAGTATGTTATGTACATGTATTTTGGCCAGCTTACAGGTACCACAAAGGAAGAAGACTTTTCCTCAGACCGAGATGGTCTGATGACATAGAAACTCCTATACGAATCTAGAAAGCCTCAATTCACTTTGCTCAACATGTTTGATATATCAGCCAATTGGTGTCTGACCTGATAATGCTGATTTGATGATTGAAGCATCTCTATATATTGTGAATAACACCACAAGCTACTGTACATCGCCTATAATGAATTGAAATATTCAAACATTTAACCATTTGTGTCTGTTTACATGTTTATCATGACTAATGTGCAAATATCTTAGGTCAAAATGAAGAAGTTTAAACAATGTTGACAAAAAAAGTACTTGCTTTAGGTAAGCCACAAGTCTCTGGACCAGAGATGTTCTTGTCCTCACAAGCTGTTAAATAAATGACAAATTTAGTATAAATAACATGTTTATAGGTAACAACATGTTTAAAATTGCATCACCATTATAAGATACAATATACAGTCTAAAATATTACAGACATGAAAGATGTATAGCAGCAATGCCGAAATAAATAAAATTAGGAAGGTTGGCCAAACAGTATGCATGCATGCATAGTCACTCAGAATGAATGCAGAGCTACTAACTACTAACCTTAACCATTATTAATACAGTATGCAACACGTGCATACACTTTATAACGTTACATTAAAAACATATTAACATATTTAAAATATAAAACTATTTGATTTGAATGATAAATCTGAAGTTTGAATAAATATAGCAACACACCAGAAGAATTTCTGTGGCATCCCGAATATCTCCTTTCCAGTAGTACCTGAAATTAATGAACAATTGACATTTTAGAGGAATGATGACATTTCATAAATGTGTAAATTTAATACTTAATCTTGTAAATCTAAATTAGTTTAAATAATTTAGGTAGTAATTATTAGAAAGTAAAATATGATGGAAATGTCAGTGATTGGTTGGAGCACTATTTATTTTGGTTTTGAGTGGTTGGTGAAACCAATTGCATTGTGTGCATATCTCAGCGCCTAGGCTGCCTAGCACAGAGACACGTTTTTTTGACAGCCGGCTTATGGGGGGCAGCTAGCGGATCATTACGAAAGATTAGATGAATGTGATAATTTATGTTTGGGCCTTAAATCCCTGATACAACCTTTAACTTTTAAAATATATCTCTGTATGTTGTGTTTAAACTCGCTGGTCTTACATAGTGGTAGTGCGAGGAAATATATTCACACATGCTGCCAGCCTTTTCTCCATGATGCTCCTAACAGAAAGAAGAGAGACAAAGAGAATATGTAAAGGATAAAATATTATAGACATGGAAGATGTATAGCAGCAATGCAGAAATAAATTAAATTAGGACAGTTTTCCAAACAGTACGCATGCATACATAATCATTCAGAATGAATGCAGAGCTACTAACTACTAACCTAAGACTATAGCAATATTTATCATAAAAAGATACAGTAGCTTTCAATCTTTTAGTTTGATTTTGGGTGTTAGCTCAGAAATGTGTGCTAGAATCTGTGTTCTAGCGGACTATGGTAGATTTGTGTTTTCCATCTCATTATTTGGCTTTTAGTGTTTAGTTTAGGCCCTTGATTGTGCTGTCATTGCCTAACCAACTGAAAACATCCCTGCTGCCTTTCCCCTTTCCTAATGCTCATGCCATGACCTCATACTACCTACTACAACATTGGCAAAGCATGGCCCTGTCCCAATACTCACTTGAGCCCTAAGGCCTTCCTCGAAGTGGACACTTGTTGAAAGTGCACTTAGCGGAGAAAGAGCGCAAGGGCCCGAAGCTGTGAAGAGCAGAATTGGGACAGTTTTGCACACCTCAAAAAGCTACTTTTTTTTTTTTTAACTCTTAGCCAGCAACCTTTCTGTTAATGCTATTAATATTAAAACAGTTTTTGGCTAAGATAAAATGTGATTGAGGTTTACCTGAGTTTATACTGCCTTACCATATTCACAGAGATTCGAAATGCAATGTTAATTGTTATTATGGAAATTGATATATGAAATTCCCATACATGAAAAAAAAAATGAGAAAAAAAAAAAACATGACGTGTTGGTGATATATTTTGTATAGGCTATAGATTAAAATAGTCTAACATATAGGCTGTATAAAATAAAATGACACAACCTTGTCTCTTTTTATTTTATTGACCAAGAATAGCCATTATTAAAGTATAAGCTTAAAAAGTATAAGTAGTATAAGTATAAGAAGCTATATACAGTAAGTCAACAAATAAGGCAAGAAGTTAAAAGATTCAGTCAAACATACGTTTCAACGTTACAGTTAAATAGCCTAAATATATAGTTATGAAACTTCACTTTTCCCCTCAGCCAAAACGATTTTCCAGGGAACAAATCATAGAATAATGAGACCAAAGATCGCCCGTCTGATGTACACAAGCCGATTTATAGCTCATGTTTAACCACTAGACACAGAGCCCGCGGGAAACGCAAGAATGACTAGCCGGGGCAAGGCTGTTGCAGGCGGGGTACATGAGCGCTGAGCACCCGCCGCCCTGTGATCACCTGGAACTCCGAACGTCAGATCAATTTTTTAAAATAGGCGCTATTTTTATAAATAAACCACAGATTTGAGCTTTAAACAACTATATTCTCGACTGAAAAACTCTTAAAACTACATTTCGTGACCCAATAACACAAATATTTTTGAAAAATTCTTCACCACACCGGCATCGTTTATCTTCGGAGTTTCCGCTCCCGAACAGCACCATAGCAACCGTTCTCCCCAACAAGGATTCTGGGTAATATCCCACAGCAAAGTGAGGTCTGATGCGCACTTACGAAAAGGGTGCATTAAGTGCCCTTTTGATCACCCCTGGAGAACACTATTAGAGGATTGGGACACCCTACGGTCTTGCACCCCTTAGCGAGAACGCGCATTGAGGGGCACAAGTGCGGATATTGGGACAGGGCCCATCATTCCATACTCCAGACCTTGTGCACTCCCCAAAAATCTAAATTTTATTTGCCCATGCTTTATTACATTCTTAATACGATTATACTTAAGACTGTCACGATACCACACACAGGAACAAGGATCGATCCAAAAGCAGTGTTTATTTAAAGGGTAATCAGTACTCACAAGCATTCCAGGCAAGGGTCAAAATCCATATAAGCAATCCATACACGAAAACAAGACGAAAACAGGCAAAAACACAGAACTCCGAAGTGGTGTGACAAATAACGAACTCCGTAATAAACACTAAACAAACAGGGTATTTAACAAGAACTCACAATGAATAAAAAAAGGAACTGCTGGGTACAATGATGATGGGGAACAGCTGAGTGCAATGAACAGTGATTGGTACAGACAAGGATTGTGGGGAATGCAGTTCATGAACAGGATGACACCGTGGGGAAGAGGAACTCCAGGGATACACCAACCAGACACTGTGACAGACAGTGCATATTATGTAAACGCGTTCACCCGTTTCCCTTTATGGTCAATTTCGTCCAATTCCGTTATGTAAACACATAAACCCAGCTCTGTGTGCTTATTGAAGTGGGCATGTGTGTTATATAGACCATTTCACAAGAAGTAAACAACACTGGTCCAGAAGCACTTCCTGTTTCAGTTTGTAACTGTTTTCTTTATTTCACATGTAAAGAAAACATCTTAAAGATGTTTGTTTAACTTTTTGATTCAGTTTTAAATGTTCTGTTGGTTGTATTTTATCCCAGCTTTTATGTAGTGTTAAAAAACTGAAACAGGAAGTGCTTCTGGACCAGTGTTGTTTACATCTTGTGAAATGGTCTATATAACAGGAAAGTATGGAACTTCTGTGTTGGACCTACGCCGGAGCCTCTACGCTATAGACTACACGTTGGTTTTCATTTATACTTCTGCGTTGTTGTCCGCGTTGACGTGCAATTACACATGCAGAGGGAGCATGTGAAACCAGGGGAGTGGTTCTAGCAGACCAATCATATCACTTGCGTCCGCGTAGAATTGATGCCTTGTTACATTTTTGGAGAGGAGCATGTCAGTGTAAGACGTAGCGACGCTGTGAGTTTGACGCAGAAGTATAATTTTTTATACTTAGAAGACCTGATTTTACATTGTGATTTTATGTTCCACTTTGTGTGTTGTCCGTGAGGGGCTGCTGGCTTATACTTTAATTTTGTATTTATTTATTTATTATTAAAAATGTTTAATACTCACCAGTTCCCGCCTCCTTTTTCCCATTACAACTGAATCCCATTACAAATGTAATAGCAAACCTTATCTAGCATTAGGTCTACGTCGCTAGACTAATTACTTTAATTAGGCTATTATATATATATAATGTTATGTTGGTTACCATTATATTCTAACTAGCTATTTATAACTTATAGAAAGGGTGCAACGTTATGAAGTTACATTACATGTATTGCAAAATACGTAATGATTTGAGGACCAAGTTTGTAGTAAAAGTATGGGCAGGTGTTGGTCAACGTAAATATTGTTGATGTTTCATCTCTACTAGTGAATATGCCACAACTGTTTATCTGCCGTCATCAGTGGCTCTGCTTACTAGCCTGCGTGTTCGTGGCAGGCTCCACTGTGGGGTACAAGCTTTGGAGGGAGGGCTGTAGCACACCCGAGAGCAAGGGGGTGGGACCTGTAAGTTATGTTTGTTCAAATTTTCAGGCTAAGTCAATGTTTTCTCAAAGCTCCCTACTGCAGCTTAAGTGTGTGTCATGTCTAGTTTAAGTTTTGTTTCATGTTACTAGTTTTGGTTTTTGGTTAATGTTTCATGTGATCCTGCCATGTGCTTCCCTAGTCTTTTGTGACAAGTTATCATTAGCTAATTTTCTAATCATGTTCACATCTGTTTCTTGTTTAGTGATTAGTCTTTGTCTTTGCCATGTGTCTGTGCCAAGTATTGTTTGTGTATCCACTGTGTCTGTCGTGTCGGTGTTGAGTCTTTGTTTTGTATTTTGATCATGTTTGGACGTAAATAATGGATTTCGTAATAGAATACTTGACCCACCATGAACCAAGCAGCTTGTTTGCTTCAACTTCATCAAGCGGAAAGAGTTATTGAGGATTATGTCAAGGATTTCATGGATTATCTGCCCTGGGACACGATTAAAGAAAAAAACGTGTTTTCGTTATGGATTGGACCATGATCTTGCTAATGCTAACTAATGCCCTCTGCAGAACACCTTTGTATGCTATGTCAGTATATTGACTTTATTTTGTTTGTATGTGGTTCAATTTTCACAGTGGGGGAGGCAGAGGACTATTATTTGACTGATTCTTTTCACGTCCTGCCTACCGAGCCTGAGCCTTTTCATGTCCTGCCTGCCAGGTGCCCTGGCTTCCTGAACTGCCGGCACCGCCCAAGCTCCACTCTCCAAGTCTAATCTCCCTTCACGGGCCTGTCCTTCCCTCAACCAAGATCGCCCTCCTGGACTCTTGGTGTGTTTTTGTGTCTTGTTTTGTTTGGGCGTATGGGCCTGCCCATAGAGGGGGGATCTGTCATGAATAGTTTTGAGTTTTATTTCATGTTCATGTTTCATGATACTAGTTTTGTTTTTCGGTTCATGTTTCATGTTTCCTGTCTTAACAAGTGCCATGTGCCATCTGCCATGTGCTTCCCTATTCTTTTGTGTCATGTTGTCATTATTCAATTGTCTAATCATGTTCAGAGGTGTGTATTTAAGCCCTTGTGTTTTCCATGTGTCTTGGTCAAGTATTGTTCATGTAACCACTGTGTGGTGAGTGTTAGTTTGTCAAGTCAAGTTGTGTCATGTCACGTTATGCTTAGTCAAGTCTTTAGGCTTGTTTGACTTCATGCAGCTCTGCGCAGAACGATCGGCGGCTGACTTGAAGCACTGCATGCCGGTTAGAAATTTTGTTCGAATTGAATGCAGCACTGAGTCCACATGACTGTAACATATGCTATCACAGTACCGTGAGAGCGATTCGAGAGTAGCCGGAGGACTCAGCCAGTACAGCTTCCCAAGAGCGGCTGCACAAGCTCGGATTAAAAAAACGTCTCCACTTCATTGATATAGGCTTATTTTGAACTTTATTCTAGTTCAAACAGATGAAACAGTAAAGTATTGAATTAAAAAAAGTGTATAATATATCTGTGTATTTGGCAAATATTGCATTTATTTCACTTCAGCTGTGGTAAAGTATGCAAACACCACGTGAGCGGTCTCTACGGGAACCAAAAAGTGTCCAACTTCACGTCTCAGTTTGCAGCTCCTCCCCGCCTGCACGCGGCTACT